TCTAATCACTCGAGGACCTTGAACTGGTCTACATTTCTTGCATGGCAGACTTAAAACAAGGAGTTTTCTTTGTAGCTTATCTGATCATCACAGAAATAGTACTCTATCAGCAGTACTCCTTAATTTATAAGAAACTCAGCCTCTCTTCCCTGTTGCTTTTCATTATTTTTTCTTTCACCTGACTTCCTCCATCCCTCTAGTTATCTTAAAACTTGACTTCAAATTCTCCTTTAATACAATATACGTATATATTTTTTGAGTTATGCTGGGCAGGAATAAGTGTTCCAACAGGTATGTCAGATAGAAGCAGACCTCCTTGCACAAGAGACGTCTGACGACTCAGAGCAGGGAGCAGGGTTCCAAACATGAGGAATGTTAAACACAAGGGCAAATTCACTAAGCATCCACTGTGTTCCACATGCTATGCCGAGACGGGTGGGAGGTGCAGATAAGATACGTGTAATGTGTCTCTAGTAAGGCATGTACTGTAACTGTAATGTGATAATGTAGTATTAAAAATACTGTAAAAATGAAAAGGTATCTCTGCCCAATCAGTCCTCTAAGGAAACATATGAGACCTTCACATTGAAAGACAAGGCCTTCTAGGCAGCGGTGATGACATTACAAAGGCAGCGTCACGTGAGGCCCAGGCCGGTCGGGGAAGTGGTGACCACGCGGCCTGCCTGCGTCCACGGTTCATGGAGGGGGCGTGGGAGAAGAGACCCAGGGAGGTGGGAGGAGGGGACGGATCCGGGAAGAGGAGTGAGAGGCTCTGAATTTTAGATTTTATATCCAATACCATTTTCATTACATCATTTCCTTGTTCTAGACTTGCACTGGCTCCTCCTCGCCTGACAAATGCAGGAATAGCCAGTGGCCATGTGGGAAGTGGAACCATTATGTGAGGCTGGGAAGAGAGAGAAAGATGAGCTCCAGCCACAGAACAAAGAGTCCAATAAAGCACCACAGATTCTGTTCCCTAATGCGTAAAACAAAGTATCCAGCCAAGTCAAAGCGCTCAATGGAATATCCCTAAGGGCCCAGTTAAGATCCTGAATCTCTCTGCCTTCTCTTGACTGCTGTCCTTTTTTTTTGTTTCATCTTATGATGACTCTATAGTCACAGATCCTAATATCCTCACAGAAATAAGCATGGATCAGGTACCTTTATTTTGGCCATTGGGTCAAGTGTTGGACTGGAAACTCAATGACTTAAAATTCCAATGTACTGGCTGAGTCACTGAGGCTTAGGGCTACTTGCCTGAACTTTTTGATGTTTCACATTATGGGGATATTAATTGCATTGTTTCTCTCAGGGCAGTTGTTAAGAGGGCTAATAAAAACATTATTATAGAGCACCCAGCTATGACTAGTGATTTATCAGAGCTCACAAAGTTCTAAATGATTGCTTGAACCATTTAGTTCTGAGCTACAGAGAATGGTGTTTATAACTAGTACAGTTCTTTTAGCCTCATTGGGATTTCTGGCTATCCTCTGGGACCAGGACAGTTTCTGTGGATTACAAATATGCCTAAAGAAGATGATGGAAATTCATTTACTGTGTTTCTCCAATAGGAATAAAAATAAGGTCTATTTTTAAGTCCTTCTCTTATTCATCTCAGGAGGTTTCTGCCCAAGGTATTTGTAGCATACTTATATGATTGACATAAGAACTTCTAGAATTTCAACATGGGTAGACGAGAGTCCATACCTTTACTGTTACTACTAAAGTTAGCATGACAAAAGGCTTAGCAACCCAACAATGCATGAGAGGGGAGTTAGATATATCAACTGGGTTTGCTAAATAAGAAGGCAAATATGGATACGGTTAAAAGGCTGTTTTCCTCCCTCTCCCCATGTTTTCGGTGGTTCTTCCTGTTTCCTCTCTAAAAAGCCCAGGTGAGGTCTGAGGACCCCCAACAATGGGAGTGCTGGAGGGGGGGCCACCTCATTACTTTTCCTTCCTCTGGTCTGGAGAGCACTGACAGACAACGCAGTCAAGACGAGCACTGATGTGGTGGATTATACTTCTGTTGCATGAGCTCGTTTTGTCCTTTGTTCCATCCAGTTTCTGAACTTTATCAAAGTGACCATGCAGGTGGAAAATTTCTTACACAGGCAATTTTGAAGGATCCAAATGGGTGGAAAGCAACAGAATGCCTAATGAATAATTCACTGGTAATTTGTCCTCAAAAGAAAGTTTTATCTCTCCTGGGTTATTAGCATTTCGTGTGAAACTCTCAGTGACTTTGTAAATAGTTGAATGCTTTGATCCTGTTGAAAATATCCATCCCTTGTCTTTTGGTCCAACTAGGACAATCCTCTCATTACAACAATGAAGGAGCATTGAGGGATACAATTGGCAGAAGGTGGCGATAACATATTGTGCATCTTTACAAGGATGTCTCCTGGGCACTGCCAATCACGCATGTCCAAATCTCTATCACCTTTCCCCATTGCCACTTCTTAATTCTCCTTCTTTATGATATTCTATAACTAAATAAAGGTCACGTTCTTATAGTAGTTCATCCAATCCCCCAATTTGGAAAGTGTCCTCAATCTCTTACTTTTTCTCAATACGAAGTCATATCATTTTTTACCTCTTAAATACCTGTCAATAGTACCATTCTCTCCATTCCCTTTGCCTTCATTTATCACGTGATAGTATTCTTAACCCCCACCCCTAGTGAGGGCCAGGAACCAGCTCGAATGTCAGGGGAGAAGTTTCACTGGGCCTGAGGCTGGAGGAACCCTGGGTGTGTGGTAGGCAGGGTTCATCCAAGGCAATGGAAGATGGAAGGGCCTACAGGGAAAGCTGAGATCCACACTTTCAGGAAAGAGTGTCAGTAAGCATCAAATCCAAGACCCTGTGTGTCTGGCTCAGAGAGAGATGGGGCATGGGGTGGTAGCTGAGTGATTACTCAGCATTTGAAGCTTGTACTTGTGGTAGGGATGTGATGGCTGGTGTGAAAAGCAATGGGCAGGTGCTGGGATTATCAAGTTTCTAAATGAAGTCTGTCTCAATAGCACTAATTCAAATGAGTAGTTATTATATTTGTTTTTTTCCTCATTTCCTCACTAAATTCTTGGCTTTGTGAGGTCAGATACCGTTATACCCTGAGAGCCTCCCACAGTACTTCATACATGACAGACACTATCAGATATTTGTTGAATATGTGAATTAGTCCCAAATACTAAAAATCTATTCTCATCACTTCAATCTTAAGAATTCTTCAGCAACTCCTCCAAGTCTTTAAAATAAACCCAGAATCCTCGGTTCAGCTTTAACAATTAAACAACAACAACAACAACAACAAAAGTTGTTTGGTCTCTCCAGGTTATGTTTTCACCCAGTGGCTTGCCATTCCCTCCCTGCTCTTCCTGCAAGGCGGGAAGTGTCCATCGTGCTGCGCTTCTTGCAGTTACTCCCAGGTGTCGTGTTCGTTCACCTCTTCTCTCATAACCAGCCACAGTCAATCCAGAGATCATGCTCTCCAGAAAGCTTACCCAGCTCCCTCCCCAGTCTCGGTCAGGTGCCAATGTACTTCACATCACTGGCTTCCAATTTTTTCTGTTTTCTCTTTCACCTTTGCTGGAGAGATAAACTCCCTAAGGTTAGATAGAGGACTGTGATGCTTAATTTTGTGTCAACTTGGCGAGGCTGTGCTGCCCAGTTGTTTGGCCAAACACCAGTCTAGATGTGTGGCTGTGAAGATGTTTCTTAGAAGTGATCAACAGTTAAATCAGTATATTTTGAGAAATGCAAATGAGTTTTTATCATGTGAGTTGCTTTCATCCAACAGGTAGACCTTAAGAACAAAGACTGAGGTTTCACAAACAAGGAATTCTCCTCAAGACTGCAACATACAAGTGCTGCCTGAATTTCCAGCCTGTGGGCCTGCCCTGCAAATCCCAGACTTCCCAGCCCCCACAACACACAACCCACAACCTCATGAGACAATGTTTCAATGCCTTAGACAAAATCTCCACCTCTTCTCTCTCTTTCTCTCCCCCCCCCCTTTTGCTCTCTTTCTCCAGGGTGGGGAAAAAGTAGGTTTATAGTTGTGAGTACAAGAACAGAGTTTATTCTTGTATTATTATTTATTAACAATTATATTATTTTCCATATGAACAACTGTAAACCCACTTTTGCCCACCCTGTGTGTGTATATCCCGTGTGTGGATGTACATATATGTATACACACACATATATATATGTGTGTATATTCTACTGATTGTGATTCTCTGAACAACCTTTGCTAATGCTAACACAGGAGATTTCTATGTTAACTTCTGTGTCTAGAACTCAGCACAGCAATTAAATGAAAAAGTTAATCTAGCTTGAAGTCTCCCTTAATAAAGAAGACTTTGCAGCGTAGAGAAAAGGAGCTGGTTTCCGGGAAATCCTAATGAGGTCACCTGACACCAGGTTCCCAGCATGTCCTCTAGCACCTCCTCCCCGATCCCCGGTTACTTGACATTTTGAAGCATAATAAAAAATAATGAGGAAAATATACATTTTATGAGTTCATTTATTCAGTTCCAAATGCCAGGGACATACTAAAGACTCCATCAGCAGCACAAGCCCTGTGCATGGGGAGTGGTTGGGTGGCAGCCTCTTCCCTTCTGGAAGGTGACAACAGGGTCAGCCTCTCTTCTGGAGACCCTAAAAACATGGTGCCTTTCTCTGTGTGTCCCATCCACCCCTTTTTGTGGGAACTTTGATGTCTGAATGACCGGGGAAATCACTGGCAGGAACCTTGGCATGCCAGCTGCTTTGCCCTGCCGGCCATTCAGTATCTGGTCCAAGTTCAATGTGTCTTCCTGGCAGTAAGTAAGCCCATGACCAAAGCTCTAGACAAGGGTCACCAGCCTGAGACTATCTTCCTGCTGCTTGCTGAACTCAATGCTTGTCATTCCGTATGTACGGTGGAGAGTAGGTACCCATAAGTATTTACTGAAAATCTCTGAGAATGCAGCGCACACCCAGAGAGTTCTCACCTAAGTGCCGCACATCACTGGCTCCATTCTCCTGGGGCTCCTCTTTCTGGGCATTGTCCTCCTCCATCAGGACCTTCTGTGGAATCTCAGAGGAGAAACTGGGATTGATGCCAGCCTGCACACAGCAAGGACAGAGAAGTGCCGTGATTGGGAAGCTGAGGTGACCTTGACAACTGACAGTTAACCAAGTTAGCATCTCAGGAACACTAATTGCTCTGAATGTATAAAACAGACATCCTGGATCATCCTATAATCCCACTGCTGACTAGCCTTTAGAATGACAAAACACAATCACCACCAATCAGAATCAATGGAAGCACACTTTGGGATAGAATAATCACAGATTAAAAAACATGTCAGCAAACAGCAATGGGTAATAAATACTTAAACAGTAAGAAGAGTCAGCTTCTCAGCATGGTTGTTTCTGCTTGGAGTTTGTTTTTGTTTATTTTCTATTTTTTCAGCGCATGCTTATTATTTGCCAGCTATCCTATTAGATACTTTGTCTTTATTATTTATTTTAGTATTTACATAATCTCATATTGTAGGAAACAAAACCAGTATCTGTGTTCTTAAGAGATCTCTGCAAGGAGCTCTTGAATTTCCCAGGCTTCTCGCAGCTCTCATAGGTCCGGTTTTGGTTTCCTGCAGACTCAGGGATGTACTGGGAGATAGTGTGGTGTCACTACCAAGGAAGGGCTCCCTTCTGCCGTGTTCCTACTATCACTGCCGTTTCACAGAGAGGAAACCTGTGTGTGGCCCAGGAAAAATAAGAGTTGTCACAAGTCACATGACCAGTATGCACACTACCTTGTGAAGTGACAATTCCCATTCCTTATTCAGTTTTTAAATTGCTCTTGAGGTATTAAGGAGGGTGGATTTTAATGGTGGCAGAACTATAGCCACAAAGACCAGTTAGAGACTTCTACAGAACTTCAGGGGAGGGATGCTAAGAAACTAATCTAAAACATTAGATAGCAAGATTCAGACTGTGATACATAAGGGAGATTGAAGTTATCAGGCCAATATGATTTATTGGTACGGGGAGGTGGGTGCAGGGGAGAGTCTGGTGCACATTTGGGTAGTGGTAGTTGCTGATGCTGTTATCTAAGAATGCAAATACAGGTTCACAGTCTGAAGGAAGATAGAGAGGAAAATGGTAAATATCCAGGAGAAAGGTGGGCCAAATGATGGAGTAGGGTCCTGAGAGAAGCAGGAGAGGATAGGATCAAGGACGTAATTGGAGGGTCAGCTTTGACTACATGCAGTGCTCCTCATTCCAAGAGAACAGATGGAGAAAAGCAGATGAGAGCAGACGTCACGTAGATCAGTAGCTGAGTGGGAGGAAAGGTTGAGAGCACAGCCATTTCATACCGAGGGTCTCACTTTTGTCTGCGAAGTACAAGGCAACACTTCCATTGGAAGTACCAACTTGAATATTACTTGAGAAGAAAATGCTGAAATACAGATTTCTATTGTTATATTAAATAGGAACTTGAGAAACTTTTGTGTGCCAATAATACTATCAAGAAAGTGAAAAGACAACTCACAGAATGTGAGAAAATAGTTGCAGATCAAGTAGCTGATAAGGGCTTTGTATCTAAATCATAAAAAGAATTCTTAAAACTGAAAATAGGGCTTCTCTGGAGTGGTGGTGGGACTGTTTTCTCTAAATACACAACATACTTTGAAAAGAAGAGCCTCAGGAGCTAGATGTTCTATTTAAACCTTTGGTTGCTGCTCAGAAAACAATGACAAAGTTAGTGGTTTGTATGTTCTTCATGCAAAAGTAATGTACTAAAGGAGAGAATTAAGCTGTGTTGGTCAGTGACTCAGGTGAAGGCTGAGAAAGTTGAAACCAGTTTGCGGATGACACACAACTTCTAAGGATCCAAGATGATGGAGTAGGTAGAAGTTGCACTCACCTCCTCCCATGAAGAAATTAAAATTAAAACTAAATTATAGAACAGTCAACCTGAATAACCATCTGAAGACTAGCTGAACAGAAGTCCTAAAACTGAGTATATACAGAAGAAGCAACATTGAGACCAGGAGGAGAGGTGGAGACATGAAACCGGCTGGCTCCACACCCATAAGCTATGGTGGAGAGTCTGGAGGGTTATCTCAGTTGATCTGGAGGATCAACGGGTCATAACCCCAAGCTGGGCTCCCCAGCCCAGAGCATCAGTGCTGGAAAGAAGAGTGCACATAACATCTAGCTGTGAGTGAGACAGAAGGCTGCTAGAAACCCAGGCATCTCCTTACCAGGGCTGTGCATACAATTTCACTCACATGCACTCATTCTGGGTGGCGGAAGAGTAACTCAGAAGTTTCCAGAGTCATACATGGAGAGATTGAGTTGTGTGGCTGCAGAGAGAGCTGGAGAGACAGCCACCAATGTCTCTGTGTTGAGTCCCTCTCCTGTACCACCTACTAATGTTATCGTTGCTAGGTCAACTAAATGACATGGGTCTAGGAACCTGCAATAGATCTACCCTGTAGTCTCCTTGAGGCCCTGCCATACCCAGATTGTTCACGGCCGTGGGCTCTGCTGGCAGTGGCAACCCGAGCCCGCATTATAATCTTTCTTTAAAAACCCTTAAAGAATTCAGGCAAGCTCAGGAGTGCTAGAGATACACAGGGAAAAACTGAGTTGTGTGGCTTTAGGGAAAAGGCTGTTTCCCCAAACACCCAGCAGGCATCACTGATCCAGTGTGGGGCCTTCCTCCCACACACATTAACCCTGAGAAACACACTAGCTCCCTGAGTCCCTTCTCTACTCAGTTCTCCCACAGCTGTGAGCTTTGCCAGCAGCAACAAGCCCACATCAGCGTTGTAGCCTTAAAAAAAACTCTTAGAGAATTCCAGGTGAGCTCAGGGTAGTGCTGGAGAAATACAGGGAGAGGCTGAGTTTTGTGGCCATAAAGCAAGGGCCATCTTCTGGCATGCTCTACGGGTGCCACCATTCCTACACAGAACCCTCCTTCCACATGACCAATACTTAATTTGCTCTGGTCTGATGAAATCTATTGGCTCTAACCTGATGATTCCCAGACACCCTGTCCCAACACAAAGGTCTTTGGTGTACCCTGAGACATTTGCTCAGTGGTCTAGGACCAGCAGTGGCACCAAGCTTGAATCTGTACTAACCCGGTGAACATCACTTGCCATGTGGCACTCAAAGAACCCAACTCATGAAACTTGTATACCATCTGAGGTTTGTTCAGTGGCCGTACCTAACAGGTAGTAGAAGATGGCAGTGGCTCTCATGGTGCCTTGGGCCTTTTGCTGACCTGCCTCAGGACAGTACTGATGGCAGCTGGTTTTGGAATGCAGTTTGACTGCTCTCAGGCACATCCAAGCCCAGCACAGACAGCTATCAAATGTGGACCACGTTGTGTTCCTATCAGGTAGCCCAGGACCAGTCACAGGCAGTGTCTGATATTATCTGCATCAGAGTTTCTCCCTAGGGGCCCCAGACCCAATACACCTGGTGGCTGGCTTTAGATCACATCACAGCATGACCTGATTAGTTCTACAAGCAGCACACTTAAAGGTAGCTCTTGGCAGGCACCAGAACTTGCTGGGGCTAAATCCACTTTGAAGGGTTATCACTGACATGGATACTGTGGTAGTGGCTAATTCTCATAGTCAGGAAACCTGAGGGTCAACTCCATCCACAGACATACCAACAGCAATTAAGACTCACTTTCAACAGGAGGGCTCACATGATCTTCAGAAGGGACACTCCTGGAACACCTAACCCAAATAAAAAGGGAGATTGAGCCACTGGACCCTACATAACATGTATTATATGAAGCCATCCTATCAAGACTGAGAGGCATAGCAGACTTGAAATACACAGAAAAAAAAACACAGACAGAAAAAAATGGTGAGACAAAGAAATATACCCCATATGAAAGAACAGGAGAAATTAAAAAAAAAATGAAAGGAGGCAAGCAATTAGTGAGATAGAAAGTTCAAAACAATGGTTATAAGAATGCTCAAGAAACTTAGTGAGAACTTCAAAAGCATAACAATGGACATAGACACCATAGATAAGAATGAGTCAGAAATGCTAAATACAATAATGAAATGAAGAATACACAGGAAGGAATCGACAGAAGATTAAATGAAGCATAGGATCAAACCACAAATCTGGAAGACAAAGTAGCAGAAAACACCCAATCAGAGTAGCAAAAAGAAAAAAAAGGAGGGCAGTTTAAGGTACCTCTGGGACAACATCAAGTTTAACAACATCACATCATAGGGGAACCAGAGGAGGAGAGAGAGGCTAAGGCCTTAGGGACCTATTTGAAGAGATAATGACTGAAAACTTTCCTAATCTGTGAAGGAAAAAGACACACAAGTCCAGGAAGTACAGAGGTCCAAACAGATGAACCCAAAGAGGTCCATATCAAGACACATCATAATTACAGTGACAGAGGTTAAGGACAAAGAATCTTAAAAGCAGCAAGAGAAAAGCAGAGAGTGACTTTCAAAGAAATTTCCATAAGAGGATCAGGCCTCCCCCACACAGAGCCACAGAATGGTGACACCATATCTGAGACTCTATCAACCTGGTTCACATGGGTTGCCCTGCCCAGGTGACTGCATAAGTCTCTGCCCCATCCACCTTAATGTGCTTTTTTATATTAGCTCATGCTTCTAAGACAGGGAGTCAAAGCAGATCTACGTGATAAATAGAAACAAAGACAGAGAGGCTGCCAATATAAGGAGACAAAGACATATAGCCCAAATGAAAGGATAGAACAAAACTCCACAAAAAGAACTAAACAAAGTGGAGATAAGCAATTATCAGATGCAGAGTTCAAAACACTGGTTATTAGGCCCTGGCTGGTGTAGCTCGGTGGATTGAGTGTGGGCCTGCAAACCAGAGGATCACGGTTCGATTCCCAGTCAGGGTACATGCCTGGGTTGCAGACCAGTTCCCAGCAGGGGACACATGAGATGCAACCATATATCGATATTTCTCTCCTTTTCTCCTTCCCTTCCCCTCTAAAGATAAATAAATAAAATCTTTAATTTTTTTTAAAACACTGGTTATTAGGATGCTCAAGGAAATCTTTGGGTATTTCAATGGCATAAAAAAGA